TACATCTCACCCGGTGGACGCATCACGGATGAAGTATCAGCTCGCATACAAAAGGCTTAATTGGCACTTGTCGAGTTCAGACAACTGTGGAGCCATTGCGACATTCGGTTGTCTGTGAAGTGTCGGGCATATGCTGTAGCAGTTCGGACAGTCCTGCTCCACGGTACAGAGACTTGGCCATTACGAGAACATGATTAAAACAGATTGACCGTGTTCGAACGCCACTGTCTACGTAGCATTGCACGAATCTGGTGGGGAAACCAGACGAGCAATCCTGACGTGAGTGTGGAGGTTTGAAGCAACCGCCATCGCCTACTAGACCAAGTGGTCGAACTCCATAGATTACGTTGTTTGGGGCATGTGTTACGCATATCACCAAATAGGTTGCCACGGTGAGTGATGTTTGCCGAGGCAGGTGCTGGGTGGAAAAATAGCCAAAGATGGTCAAACTAAGACTATACATGAGGGTATGAAAGCCCAAAACATGAGACTCGGTCATATAGTTCGCGTTAGATACCCTGGATGGAGACTTCGGGATAGGTGAACTCAATGGTTAGAGACACTGAGTGATATGGCTGAATGTTGCAAACAGTGACGCTAGTGCATCGTCTCAATTTCTTTGCGAGATTGATCTACTGAAATTCCTCATTTTCTCTTCGATTCTGCTTTCAATCTTTTTATCTCTCTCCTACTGCTTCATCCGAATAGGCAGACAAAAGGCAGTAACCGAAACCGGCGTACAAAAAGTGCACGGTTAATGGTTGTAAAAACTGAAACCTTGGAACAAGCCCAACCAGTCCGGTTTGTGAGCTTTGACACTCTGTGCTAATCGAATCGTTGCTCGTTTTCCCGTTAGCCTCGACATCGAATTGGTCTAATATCTCTGAGTGTCGGGAACGAAATGAAGTTGCAAGATCCACGCACAACTACACATCACTGGGAAACGCGCTCTGTTTGCGTGAATCTGATTGAAGTTTAATAGAAGTCATCTTCAGTTCACGACCGTGATCAAGTTGTGAAAGGGTGTGAGCATTAGATGCGTCGATTTGTAGAAAACAACTGTTCCACATTTCACAGTGGACCCCGGGTGTCCTCAAAACACCATTGGGCTCTCAGTATTTTCATCAAACACCGAATTCTGCAGTCCAGTGACACCACCCTGCCTGCACCGATTCGGGCAGTCAAACCAATTATTCGATTGGGACATAATGCGCACACTACGTTTGGATTACATGANACCATGCAAACAATTTTCAAAGTTTGCTCTGTGGTTCTAGTTGTGGACACATTTTCACTTCGTGTAGCGCGGGTTTCGATTTTAAAATAGCATGCGAACAAAATATGAAAAAAAAGGTTTATTAACTAGCATATACTACTATACTTTTATAAAAAAAATCGCATTATCTTCCCAATCCGTCGAATTCAGAACATAACTGACAGATTAGCCAGTAACTGTCCGACAACAGGCGAACCACTTTGATTGGAATAAAGCAATCACCGTGTGAGGAATGAGTGAGCATTGTTTTGTACACATCGATGAGCGTAAATTGCTGAAAAAGTTTGCTAATGTTGTGCGTATACGGCGTAGTATTCACACGCAGGAATTTGGTGCACATCCAGCCTGAATGGTACAGAGAAACCTCCTTCCAGATGCGTGCCGTTCTTCGTCTAATCAGACAGAGAAAAGAAAATAATGATAGTCCAGAAATTTTGCAGCTGAATTGGTTCAACGTAAAAGCAACAACCGTGAATGAACGGTGCCACACACACACACACACACATCTTCCTATCATCTGCTGCCGTTTTTCTCGCCCCGAACCAGTTTGAGACATCGACGAAAATAGTGTATTTCGCTTTGAAGCTGATTCAAACGTTTGATCAGCGAAGTATGAATCAGAAATACGGGAGATCATTGGAAATTTCTCACGGGTACGATGATAGAATATTCCACTTTGATGTGGTCGATGTTCATTTGTGGTCTGTCTCAATCTGAGCTTCTTTTCACACACACGTCACGAACTCGATATATGCGGTGGTCAAATTCCGGATGGACGATAAACTTTAGGCGTGCATAAAGTCTAAAATGATAAATCATCCAACCCGAGATACTCCCTCTGATTTGGTTTGATACGAAATGAAATTCAGTTGCCAGGGCCGGGGCTTGAAAGCAATGATCCACGCGAAAACCGCAGGTTTGTCTCAGGAACATCCAAACGCCGCAGCGCGGTAAACCGCGTGTAATAGTATTCATAACATGATAGAGCATAAACTGAACTGGATCTCATTCGATGTACCAGTTATTTTAGCTTGTTGAAAACGGGGAAAGTTTTCACGTAATGTGCCCCCGCCCTTCACAGAATAGGAAGAATAAGTTCATAAAATGCACCAATGTGATAGACTGGTCTGATTTTTCCGGGAGCGGGGGGGGGGGCGTTCGGGGTTTACCTGGTTGCGATTAATTTTTTCTAATCTACTCCTATAACTTGATGACAAGAACACCGTGTCCCTGTTGAAGTTTTATTTAGTTTATGTGAACCTAACTGAAACAGCACAGGAAAAATTAAACAACTCAGCAATCAACACGTCTAAACATAGTGTGCTACGTACGCATTCGTCTAGCACATCCCATTGATCGTCCAATTACGTGACACAGCTGTTCATGACACACACTGACTAATACTTCTCCAATCCGTTTTGTCCATGCACCAGCTTGTCCTAATATTGCCGGTCATCATTTAATCGATTGATATACTCTCACAATCATTCATTAAATCGTTAACCCGATTCCGATCCGCACACTGTCTTGTGTGTTCTGATTTTTTTTCGTGTGTGTGTTGGGTTACGGGCCCTAAATTACTGTACATAGCGTCGCGGTTGTAACAATAGTGCAAGCAAACTCATTACCCAGAAGTGTGGACAATAGATCAGCTTTAAACAAAAAACCTGTCTCGCACCCGAAGTCGAAATTGGCATGTGTTGACTGAAGTCAACAGGGGATGAACAAACTGTTCATGTGTTTAGCAACGCTTATCGAGGGATTGTGATGTTTGCTATGTGGACTATACACGGCACAGAAACGTACGTTGCTATCTATCCATCACCAGTCCTCATTTGGTTGTGGGCCCAGCGAATCAGGGTCCCGTGAAGAACAGGGAGAANNCAGGGAGAAAAAAACGGTCCGCTTCATGTGTAAAAAACTCACGTGCAATATCGAGAATTTTTGTCCACGTTTACTCCCACGGACCTTAGCTGGGCGAATTCGCCCATTAGAGTAACAACGATCTGCAGCCCAGAGAAACCACAATAAAAACTGCCGTGTGCAGGGCCAGTAGTTAGGAAGAAAGAAAACACCCAAACCGGTCGACCTACGAATTGGAAGAACCGATTAACCATCGCTGCTGCTAAGACTTCTACCAATCAACATAAAGCAGAGCAACTTTCTTTCAGTGGCAACAACTAAGAAAACGCAGTCCTGATTCAACCATCTATAGTTGATCGTTTATTCAAATCCATTTACCGTATACAGTACAAGGGATTTTTCAGTGCGGGTATCGGAAAATAAATGTATCGAGCCAAACCAAAATTCACATTGGAGTGAATCGTACTCGTTCATGGACTGGAGCTGCAGTTCGAAAATTGACAAACTCTCTCGAGGATAACTCCGGAAATCGGATCACCTAGGAGAGCATATTGCACTCAGGTCACGTGTGCCCGCCTCCTCCCACCTTTTTCACTGATCTCTCTCTCCACTGGTCCACCACCACCTTCAGCGCAACACAACACACATAACACACACAACAGGGTTCGGTCTCGTGTAATTGCGTTCGAAATGATTAGTCCATCAGGTCGAGTGCGCAGCAAACAGAACAACAAGAACAGTTTATGTGACCTTTTGAGCAGTGCTGAGTGGAATCGGAGAACTAAAAAAAACTGGCCAGCGCCGAGGCGTGAATGGGAAAGAAATTCGAACAGTAGCTACTACTGTTCACAAGTCCATGTCGCATGTGGTTCATCAATATATACCACTAAACGTAACTACCGAATTGTACGCTAGAGCATAAAGCGGAACAGGTGAACGTTTTTTGCAGTTGCCTAATGACTGAGTGAGTTCAGAGTTTGTTATATTCTTTCACCGTCCTCTGCCAGATGAGCTGAAAGAGCACACGCCCGCACAAGTCATCTGTCAGAATGATGTTGTCTCAGTGTTGTCATTAGGGCACGATGTTGTTGTTGTTGTTGGTGGTGGTGGTGGTGATGGTATTGCACACCCGGTACATGCATATAGGATCCGATAAACCCATTTAATTTACCAACAAAGTGAACTGATTCCATAGGCCAATCATCTTTTCATAGAAATTCACAACATTGTGTATCGTGTTCTAACTGGTTACTACTGAGTGAAGATCCCACAAGAAAACGACTGAAATTGTTCGCTACATTTAGCAATATAATTGCAGTTGAAAGTAATTGTCGGAGAACCGAGAAACCAGCCTTAGGATTCTTAATAGCCACTAAACATGACGCTTCAATGTTCCGGTTCAGTGGTATGCGTACACAAGCCCGTCAAGGTAGTGATCAGGAACACAAGTTTGAAAGAGAGTGAGAAAACGTCCGTCTGCTTTCTGTTTAGACATTTGTGCAGTTACCTAAATCGGTCAGATCGATGTACACAATGAAGGAACAACTCACCATGGTTTGGAAGCACGAATGGAGTCGGACTAGGAAAGGCGGCTTGTTCGGGAGAGCCAGTACGCGGCGCTCGGTCATGGCGCATTCCACATCGTCATCCTGTAATATCACATCTTTTTTGAGGATTTTCACGGCAAACAGTTCGTCCAAATGTTTTTGTTCGGCGAGTACGACCTACAGTGTGAGAGAGAAGGAAACCAACGAGACAGACTCATGATCCCGATAAAGATGCACTCTGAATGGTTACCGAAAATAATGTATTCCAACCGACATGAAAAACTACAGTGTTCAGTTGCCTCCGCTTTTCTTTTGGATACTGTTTGATATTTTCATTTTTATTTTATTTTTACATACATCCAAATCTAGACTGTTTGCCAAACAAATCACGGTACAATAATATTTGTGAAAAAGCGAAACGTTCCATAATTTGCATATGTGCCGAATACTGCCAGGTTGCCCAGACCAAGGGAGGTGAATTTTCTTGAGGAATCCATAACCGGAGCCTTTGGTCAACCAAAGCCTGACTCGCAAAGCAGCGGTGCGATGTGCGATAACTACAATCCATTGGGGGACGGTATTCAATTCATCGGACCATACGCTCTTTGGACGGGGTTAAACGTCCAATGTGCCCAATACACCTCGATACTCAATCGAGCCGGTGACCACTGCCATAATCGCGCACGCGCCCTTCGATTGGCTGCGCTACACTTGCACGCTCTCCGTCATATTGTGGGAATTTTCACCTTTTCACTCACTATCATGCGCCGTCGTTACTCACGGNCGGGATGATATTATTTGTTTCAAACGTGCCAGGACATGCTTCGATGGTTCAGCGGTCTGTGCGACTCCATTTTCTCACTGTCCAGGCTGGACCAAAAAACGCAAGCGTGCAGGATGGCAAGTTGCCCTTAATTGCACCCCTCTGTCAAAGATGACTGTCCCCTCATTGATCAGCACCAACACTCGGTCCCTGTTTCCCAAAATGTCGGACTTAACTAGTGTCCTCCGACCAAGAATTCATAAGAACACGTGTGTAGTCTGTGTTCAAGAATCCTGGTTGAATAAGGACGTAGATGACTCTCTAGTGTCAATAGACAGTTTTCAAGTTTACCGGCGGGATCGTGGAACTGGAG